CTGTCAAATAAATAAATAAAATCTTAAAAAAAAAAAAAAAAGCAGTGCTTAGTTAATTGCATGAAACCAGTCTACCTCTCTCCAATTCCAGCCCCATACACTCCTTTCTCCTCACTCCCTTTTGTAATTGCATCCCAAAAGTTTTGAGCAGATTTCAGCTTTAGTTCTCTCAGAAGGAAGAGTATTTTTTGTGGAGTGTTCTTTAGGGCTATTGACAATTTCCTTTTTTAAAAATCCCTATCTTGGCTCTCTACCTCTCTTTTCATGTTACAGCTTGCTTTTGAACTTGATGTGAAGGGAACAACATAGCAAACTTTTATTAGAAATGGATACATTTGTGAAAGTTTCTTTTAGGAGGAGTTTACAGAGACTTTTCTAATTTTTAATAGTTATCTTTAATTGATTAAAATGTATATCTTTTTTTTGTATCTGTATAGCATAATCCCATCAGAGTCTGCCAGTCGGCCCAGAAAACCCTGTAATTGTACAAAATCGCTGTGTTTGAAATTGTAAGTCTTTTTGCTACTCTTTCTTATTTGCTATAGCCGAAAATGCTTTTAAAAGCAAATGGAGTTAACAAAGAAGTCTTAACAGACCAATTTCATAAGTCTAAGTAATTTAAGTAAACATGCACGTGAATGTCTGAGCATGTGTGACGGTGTCAAAATCCTCTCTCATTCATTCAGAAAGAAGTAATTTTATAGTCTTTACCACAGATGAGGCACTGGTGGAGGGGTTTAGGGACACGGCAGTATGAGACAGACATAGTCTCTATCTTCAGTAATCATTAATTTGACCTTATTTATGGCCTTTATATTTGGCCTCCTAAATGAGGTGGTACTCTGAGTAGCTTTTAAAATTGTTGGATGATTAATTTGCTTATTAGCTCTGAACCAAGAGGTTTGGCCTGAAACAGTTACGTGAAAAGCATTGGTCATATAAGGGCTTTAGAATCCCAAGAAGCACGACTGTAGTTCAAGGGAGCCGATTCCACTACTGGAAGATAGCCCATGTTTTTCCTTTTTTATGATTTGAAATAACTTACTTTGGGGACATATAAAATCACATAGGTTTTGTGTTGACAACAGTTAATCCTGGAACTAAGTTTGTAAACCAAAATTCTAGGAGCCAGTGACTTGACATTTGAGCCTGATCATGTGGTTGACAGTCAATATATATTAACTCTATAACTGGGTGTCTCCAAGTACATTCTAAAATGCTTTACTGCGTGTATAATGCTCTTAAGCAGGTAATTTCTAGTTTTATTTATTTTAACAATGACTTTTTTATGTGACTTGCACTGATTTTTACATTCCAGATATTGTGATTGCTTTGCAAATGGTGAATTTTGCAACAACTGCAATTGTACTAATTGTTATAATAATTTGGAACATGAAAATGAAAGGCAAAAAGCAATAAAGGTGATTATTTTTTATTTTATTTTATTTAACTGACAAAAACTTCCCGTTTCACCTGACTTTTGTAGAACTCAGTTGTTTTACAATGAAAATTAATTCCTTTTGCGGTGTTTAGTGTACGGTGAACTTCAGTTGATATTTGATCTGTTTTGATAGGCATGCCTTGACAGAAATCCAGAAGCTTTTAAGCCTAAGATAGGGAAAGGAAAGGAGGGAGAATCAGATCGACGTCACAGCAAAGGATGTAACTGCAAACGATCAGGATGTCTTAAAAACTACTGTGAATGCTATGAGGTGAGATGCTGGTTGGGGAACATAATCGAACCGGTTTTTGCAAATAACTCTGGGAAAGGGTATATTGTAAAAATGTATGTGAAAATCGGGAAAGTACTCTGCTCTTGCAGTTTGAAAATGTGCACAGCTGGTGCACGGACCCTAGTTTGAGGAAGACCTTCTAGCCTCCCAAGCAGGGCTTCAGAGGAGTGATAGCTTGGTTTTGTCATTACATAGTGCTTTGGGTCTCATCATGTGATTTACCAGTTCATACTTCTTAATCATTATACCTGGAAGTATGCAAATCAGGGCACCAGTTTATTCATTTTTAGTAAAAATAACATCAGAGTGGATTGGAAACTCTAGCAATGGTCCTCAACTGAGGGGCAGTCCTACCCACGGCACTCCATGGGCTTTTTGAAAATATATATGGGTACAAGAGAGCCTGCATTCCAGGGGGCAGTCCTGAAAGTAAAGATTTATCTTGCCCAAAATGCCTATTGTCCTCTTGAAGAGCACTGCTCTATGAAAAACTGAATTACGTTCAGAAGTTTGCTTTCTGAGTCCAAGAATAGGCAAGGAGACATATGGAATATTGCTGGCTGAGGTTATTGGTCATCATGAAATGACTGCATCCATTTTTGCCATTCCACCATCCCACTCAACTGGCTGTTTTTATTTATTGGTCAGGCATCTTTCCAGGAGAAAGTGGTCGAAGCTCTGCTATGACAGATACTGTTTATTTTTAGATGCTATTTAAATCATCCCCTTCTTGCTATAGACAAAGTACTATATAGTTTATTATTTTTATTTTCAAAGCTTAAATATAATAATCTATTCATGCCCAAGATTACCCTATGTTTCCGTATTGCTTTCTTGGTGTACCTGAAACTCTCGTGACAGCCTTTTGAGTTGGGTCATTCCTCCAGTTAATTAGCTCTTCTCTTCTATTATATTTTCAGTCTTTCAGACTTCCTGTTGAGAGGGATACCTTATTTTTAGTTTTGGCAGAAGCCATAGCCTTGCACTTGGTAAAGTAATACCAAGGCTGGCATTCTCCCCTCGTAGGGTTTGCTGTGCTTCGGGAGTCTGTTCCTGCCATTTGGTGCCCCTTCCCATACAAAATGTGTCACAGTAAAGATTTTGAATACTGTATTCTCTGTGTAATGAATTCTTAATTCACGTATTTTAGAAGTCAAATACTCCTCTCAAGAAGTGCAGGAAGCTAACAACCTCTTGTCAGTCCTAAAGTCAATATGAATGAAAATTGCATATAATCAAGAATATTTTGAAAGTCTCTTAAATAATGTCTTACAATCCATTAATCAGTTTTTTATTCTGTGTTGGAAAAGATGGACTCTTTTGTTTGAACACCTGATGAAATAGGTGGCTTTTGTTCATAAACCATATCGTACAAAATTTGTCCTGAATACGTAAAAAATGTAAGTTATAAAACAAAATGCACAAAAAGAGAGAAAATGGAAATTGATGTAAAGCTGGGTCAGAAGGGCAAAGCAGCCCTTCCATGCGTATGGCATTGAAAAGTCAGTACATGCGGGGCATAGGAAATGCAAACATAAAAGAACCAATAATTTAATTGAATCTGAGAATTAATAGAAGTAGAAAAGGCAGTGCTGGTTGAGATACATTAGAAGAGAAAAAGCTGCCCTGTTATAATAAAATCCTTGACATTTAGGACACACAGTGTCTAATAACTAATTTGTTGTTCTAAAAGACCAAGAAATGGAAAAACTTGGAATACACTAAACTATGACTAGCGGTAGCTGATTGGCTCACTGTGAATTGGCTGTGATCTTATTTGAGAGTTTGTGTGCAGTTGTTGGTCTTTTGAATTGAATTGGCTTTTTTGGTCCAGTTGGTCTACATCTGGATAACACATTCATGTTCCTTTCACACACTTTTCAGGGCTTGTTGAGTAGATGAGTGACTATCTGCATTATTTAAATGGCTGTGCCTTGCAACCTTGTTTCCTCCCCTTTTTTTGACCACAAGGGAAGTTAAATTAGCAAAGCTAAATGAATACCCTATCATTTTAATTTCACCTTCCCGAGTTCCTATTAGATTATTAGTACCTTTCTTAGGGTCCTTCATACTTAATCCAAATTACCATTAGTGGTACGTCTTTTTCCCCCTTGATGTCAGAGATTTTATCTCTTCATCATTAGATGCTTACTAAGTATTGCTTTAGTTAGATTCTCAGACTGGCTCATAGTAAACCATGAACTCAAAATTTTTTTCCCTTGGTAAAGAATTTATTTGTGATTTGTAAGAAAGGAGCAGGGTAAATGTGTTCATCATAATATGATTTGTTTATCTTGCCAGGTGCTGTAGAAAGGGCTCTAGGTATGTGTCTTTAAATCGACATAGGTTCACTGAAGAAAATGAAGCCAACAAAAGATACTCAGATTTACTAGGTCTGAGAAATGTAAATGAAAGAACAATGAGATCTCACTTTACCTCTTCCCCCAATCAGATTGCTAAATGTTAAAAAGAGCTATAGTATACACTATTGGAGGGAATATGGGAAAGGCTTTTATACATTGCTCATGAGATATGAGGTGTTAGAGCCTTTTGAAAAAAGTCTGGCCACATCTACTAAAATACATGTACCAGTGAGCCCAATTCTAGAAATCTGGCTCATAGAAATAAAAGCATAATATATTAAAAAAAACTTTTTATACACTATTTGTGGTACTCAAGAACTAGAAACAGAATAAATGCCAAGCAACAGGCAAGTGAATGCCCAAATCACTTGTGGCACATCCATACCAGGGATTACTGCCCAGCCATTAAATAGAATGAATTCAGTCTATGCTAGATGACTTGGCGGGGCCAGCAGGGGTGGGGGGGTGGGGGGGCGATTCCATGAGGCGTAGCGTGAGTAAAGGAAGATGCAGAAAGTGAGCATGTGATTTTGTGAAACAACCTAAAAAAAAAGAAAGACTGATGTATTTGTTAGCTAAGATAGCTATTTGTACATGAGGGCTGTGTTTTTCCTAAAAATATATGTTTTACATATTTTTACATACAAGGACACACTAGTTCAATGTGGACTATTGAAGGGTTTGAGGAATCTGGAGAAGGGGATTCAGGGAGGGAGATTATGGAGATTATCCATAATGAAAATAGCATCTATGAAATTCCTTTAATGTGATAATTGTATTTTTGCCTAAGTGGGAAGTCACCAACATGTTAATGGTGATTTGATTGAGGTGGTTGGATTCTGGATGACCATTATTTTTAAATATTGCATCATTCATATTCTTTATAAAGAACATGTTATTCATATTGGGGAAAACTTTTAGATGGGGGAAAAATTGACATGGAAGGGCTCAGAGACATACATTGTGTAGTCACTCTCAGACTTAAGAACATCTGACCTATCCACATATGTAGTTAGCCCATTTAGCATTTGTGAGGAAAAGAGGTGTCCATTGTGTCTAATGTCAGTTGACCAGTTAATTCTGTTCTCTACTGATTTGATCACAGAGGCTACTTAATGTATTTTTGGGTTTGATTTGGAAGCTTTTCTTTTGCAAATCTTTTAGGCAAAAATAATGTGTTCCTCAATATGCAAATGTGTTGGCTGTAAGAATTTTGAAGAAAGCCCAGAAAGAAAGACACTGATGCACTTGGCAGATGCAGCTGAAGTCAGGGTACAGCAACAAACAGCAGCGAAAACGAAGTTATCTTCTCAAATTTCGGACTTGCTTACTAGGCCAACACCAGCTTTGAATAGTGGAGGAGGAAAGTAAGTCAGTATTTTAATCTCTTTGTAGTATGATTATTTTTGGTAAAGTTTCTTCTTTTTGGACAAAATTAAGTTCATACTTTTGATTATTGCAGACCTCTTTTTGCATTTTCTACCTTTAGTTACTTGTAAAGGAATTTGGAGGTAACAGGAAAACCACTGTCAGATATAGTACACACTTCTAAAATTCACTGTGCTTAATTTAATTGAATTTCTCCCCACTAAGATGAGGTCATTATGTAATTTGACAAACCCTTAAGAAAACCAAATTTTTATAACTCTTCCTGATAGTATCATCATTCATAATTTTGCATATTTTTACTTAATCTCTTCTTTTTCCAGGTCCTTGTAGCACTTTCCCTGTCTTTCTGGAGCACCTTTCACACACCTTATTATTGTAGCCCCTTATTTCACTAGACTGCTGAACTCTGGAGTAGGAAAGCTCCAGCTATAAAGCCTGGCTGAGCTGAGTTTAAATACCATCTATGCTCTGTGGTAGTTTGTGAATTCGACAAGCACTCCCTCTCTCTCAGTCTTGGTTTCCTTAATCCTTCCCATCAGCCTTACGAAGTGGCTATGAAGAATAAAGCATGTCTAGCCCAGCGTTTGGCAGGGCCTCATGCAGCAGAACTTGCTGATGTGGATTTGTAGTAGAGTTTGGTAGAGGTTAATTTGAGGAATTATTAAATGCAGTGAGCCTTGCAAATGGGATATATTATTTCAAATACCTAAGTTGAAGTAGGCTCTAATGCTTATAGAAATGCTTCTTTGGGGCACCTGGGTGGCTCAGATGGTTGAGCATCTGCCTTAGGCTCAGGTCATGATCTCGGGGTCTTGGAATTGAGCCCTACGTCAGGCTCCCAACTCAGCGGGGAGTCTGCTTCTCCCTCTGCCCCTTCCCCCACTTGGCTCTCTCTCTCAAATGAATAAATAAAATCTTTTAAAAAAAGAGAAAGAAATGCTTCTTTAAAAAAAAATTATTTATTTGAGAGAGAGAGAGGGCATGAGCATGAAGGGCAGAGGGAGAGGGAAAGAGAATTCCAAGCAGACTCTGTGCTGTGAGCGCAGAGCCTGACGGGGGGCTCAGTCTCACGACCATGAGATCACCTGAGCTGAAACCAAGAGTCAGATGCTTAACCGACTGAGCCACCCAGGCACCCCTAGAAAATGCTTTTTGTGCAAAATATTTCAGATAGTAATTCTGAAGAATTCTTGTCACTGGAATATAATGAGCAAATGGTTATTGACTGGATAAAGTAGGAATGGGTAGACACTTCAATAAGGGTTATAACAAGGGATCCTTTCTGGTCATCTGCTTTCAATAATCCTTTAGATTATTAAATCTAAATCTCCATGTGGAAATAAAAGACATTGTTACACTAAAATATTTACAATTAATACCTGGGAAAAATATAAAGTGTAAAAGCACAAAATTATACACTATAATCAAAACTAAAAAATTATTAAAAATTTATACCGTCATGTTTATACACTGCTGAGTGCCAAAAATTTGAATTTTTTCCTTCCTTTTGCTTTTCTGTAGTTTACAAATGTTATATAATGAGCACTACTATTACATAGTGTTACTAATTATACAATATTAACATTATTATATTTTCTAATTGAAAGTGTTTTGTATTTTAAAGTTTTCTATACAACTGTACAGCAGCCCAAATCCTGTTACTTTCTCTTGTCATAGCAGACCCTAATTTCAGACTTCGTTTGTTCTGCAGTTTCCTTCTGTCAGTGTTGTCGAGTTAGTGGTTATATTAGGTTGCTTGATTTTGTCTCTGAAGGCTTTAAGAATTGGCTACATACAGCAAGCCTCAGGATGGATTGCTCTTATTTAATACCTAATAGTTTAGGTCTTTATGAATGAAACTCCATGTATAGAACAGCATTTGGTTTCCCCATTGTTCTGTTTGTTGTGATGGAACAATGCAAAATTTTGGTGTGCTTTTTTGTTTCTTATGAACAATATATATGGGACTATGGGAAAGTGCTTAATTTTTAATGTTGTCCAGGAGATAATGCTTTCAATTCCCAATTTTATTCATTCAGCAAATATCCATGGAGTGTTTCTACGTGTCAGGCAGTGTTCTAGGCCGCGAAAAAATAGCACTCAATAAAACAAAGATTGCACTCTGGAAACTAACATTCATGAATTAGGAGTACTTTGTTATAGAATTATCTGGTCAACATGTAGAATTAACATCTTTTAGTTAACCAGATAACCTTGTCTAGGTAATAAGATATGTATTTTATTAAAATTATATTTTCTGACCAGTGTTTAAAAAATATGCTCAATAATAAAACCAGGTCTAACTTTTTAAAGCTTTCCAGGATGTGCTTGTGCTCCCTGCACAAATTGTAGTGCTCAGTGTGCTGGTGAATCATGAAAATGTCAACAGATTCTCACTTGAAATAATGTCATTCACTTTTGTTGTGACTCATTGCCATCATCATCTCTCTTTCTCTCTCAAAAATCATTTCAGATTGCCATTTACATTTGTAACTAAGGAAGTAGCCGAAGCCACGTGTAATTGCCTTCTTGCCCAGGCAGAGCAGGCAGACAAGAAGGGAAAATCAAAGGCAGCCGCCGAACGGATGATACTTGAGGAATTCGGACGATGTTTGATGAGCGTCATCAACTCTGCAGGAAAAGCAAAAAGTGACCCTTGTGCCATGAATTGCTAACTCTTGCACAAAAGACTGATAAATGGAACTCTACAGAAAATTGAAGGTGCAGGGACACTTGATTTTCTGGAAGATAGTTTAACAATTATTGTATTGTTAATTCAGTCCTTGTGAGACCTGAAATAATATTGAAAGAGGAGAAATTTTAAATGAGGAAATTAGTACATTTTAAATCTTAGTTAAATCTGTTTATGCCCCTCCTAAATTGAGTTTTTCTTTATTGTATTATATGGATTTTTAATTTGCATGGGTTTCTTAAGAATTAGATGTTCTATCCTTCTGATTCTATTGACAAAGGACATTTATAAATTACTGTAATTTATAACATATGGTGTTGTATGACTTTGTTCCAGTAGAAAAAGCCAAAGAACCATTGGTATTGCCCAGTCATTCTTTGGCACTAGACGTAAGCAGATAGAATATCTACATAAACAAATTCTTATGAAACATATTCAAATGACATTTTGTGTTTAGAAAAGCACTGTCTTTTTAAGAAAAACCAGCTTTTTAGCACAGATTCTGGAATAACATCCTGTTGTCACTTTGGAAATGTCAGAAGGGGAAGTAATCCATAGGCACACTTTTAAAATAAAAAGGTTTTTAAAAAAACAAAGTGTTAAGGGACAGTAAATAGTTCTTAATAGGCAATGTGTTTCTCTAAGGAGTGACTAAGAAATGCTCTAGAGTGTTTCCGTTTTCTTTGAAGGAGGTGGTGTGCATTTGAAATGATAATAAATTGTCAGAGTGATTACCGGGTACTATTAAAAGTGAGAGGTGCATATGAATAGAACTTAATATTATGTAGTGATGATACAGAACCTTACATAATTATCAGGTATAAAATTTGGCTTGGATGGAGAAATAAAGAACATTGAAGCTCTAATAGATGAATTTAGGAAGGATTTTTCATCTATACAGTTCTCTTTATAGACTTTTGAACTAAGAGGTCTCAATCCAATGTATGAGTCTTACTTGGTTTACTGAAAGGGCCTCCTAACAAAACTTTCAAAATTATAGTGGGATTTCTTTTTTTAAGGGAAGCTTAATATGGCATTCTTTTTAGTCAGTGATTTGATAAGCTGAAGGTATGAGTGTTTTCTTATTACTACTAAAATAACCTAAATCATTTTCACTAATTCAGAATTCAAAAGCTTTATGAATTTAAGAGCCAGTAATAAGACTCTGGATTTTATGACAAGAAAAAACCATGTTGGAATTCAGGCATTTTGTTAGGTACCTTAATCCTCAGTAATTATTAGTGTATGATTATTACATTTCCTACAAGGAATCTATAGTTGTATGTATTAAGTGTGTATATATGTTCATATGAACACACAAGATATAGGCAATAGAAATTAAGTAATCCAAAAGAAGATTCCGTTATTCAATGAAGTATCTTCCTTTTGAAATTTGGATTTATAAAATTATAGTGCAGTAACTTTAAATGTAGATAGTGCAGACATTCTTAGCACCTCAGTCTAGTATGTTTAATTAAAATTTGTATAAATGTAAATTAGTGTAAGAGGATAAAATTATCTAATCAAGTTATTTTTCAAAAGATTACAATACCTTTTTGGTCTAAACCTAAACTTTGTTCATTTTGTACATATTCTGTGTTTAATTCTAATTGCACCTTTGTGATGTGTATTTATATACAGTGTGCAGAAAATGTTTGTGAAATTTGGATTACAATTGTAGATTATGTATGACGGCATTGCTTGAGAATGTTTTGCTTGTAAAAACTTGAAGGTGCAATCAAATGCTACTAGTTTTTCTGATTTTCAAGAAGCTATCTAAAGTATTAAGACTTTTCCTTCCTGTGTAGTACTTACTAAGCAACTTTTTGTATTTAGGCATTTGCATCAAATTGCTGAACAAGATTAATATCCACATTAATTCAACAATTTTAAAAGACTATTTGGGGAGGGTTGGGTATATAATTTTTTTAGCTCTCTTTACATCCCAAAGTAGAAAGATTAAATTTATATTTACTAGAGCTATTCAAAGAATACACTTTTCTATATTGTAAAAACAGGACAGCAAAGTAAATCATACAGAAAATAAACATTTATACTATTCTGTAAAAAAAGGGTTTTGTTTTCTTTAAAAACACTTTTAACCAGGTTACAAGAAACTTTTAAAATCTGATTTTAAGTAAATTTGACATTACTTCTGAAAGCACACAACTAAAAAATAAGTCTGTCGTTTTACCCAATTATGATTAAGCTAAATTGCTTTGAAATGAAGAATATGTCTTTTTTTCCACTGTGTAAGGGCAGAAACTCGGTCTACTTTTTCCTTTCTTTTAATGTTTGATGTTTTTATGCTGAGCACCTTTCCTAGTTTCCTTTTCTCTCAAGAACTAAAAGCAATCTGTAGGTCTTATCTCTGGATTATGTAGGAAACAGAACCTTAATGTTGCCGGCAATAAAACAACCAGAGCAGCAACCATAAGGAGACTACTGCTTTAGCTTCCCTATTCTTTCATAGGGACAACTGACATTTTCTCCATCTTATGTAAAATGTGAATAAAAATACCTTTAGAAAAGTTTTCCACTTTTATTGTTCTGTAACACAAGTAGTTAAGAAAATAAATACCTATGTAAATGCAGCTTCAAAGCAGGATCTCCAGCATCATGTTGCATCCTTTTTCAGCATTTTATGTAGAAATTCCACAGCAGCAACTCAGAGAGGGAAGCTAGAACGCTAGAAAGCCTTTACTATTGGAATTATTTTCTATTATGTTAATTACTTAGGACTTTCTGTGTGTGTGAGGGTTTCTTTAATGCAGATTTTGTCATCTATAGACCACATGTGAGCTTTTTATGATCCGTGATTTTATAAAATGAAATGTATAAAGGCCTCTTTAAATTAAAAATTCTAAATAGTAAGTTTTATGAAAGCATTTAAGGCATGCTTAGTTTTTACTCAAAAGCAGTAAGAAAATAAATATATTCAGGGTAATATTTACTGTAAGGCCACACACTTCAACTCTGATTATATTATCAAATGAAATCTGGCAATGGATAAAAAGAATGCATTATGACCAGGTTGGGTTTTATCTCAGGAATAAAAGGTTGACTCAACATTAAAAATAAGCAATGTAATTCACTGTAGCAACATCAAAAGAAGTAAAACTATATGATCATCTCAGAAGTTGAAGGAAACCTCTTGAATATACTAAAAACTGCTGAATTATATGCTTTAAAAAGGTAAATATTACAGTATGTAGATTATATCTCAAATGTTTTTCAAAAAAAAAGGTGCAGAAAAATTATCTGACAAAATTCAAGACCCATTTATGATTTAAACACACACACACTCTCTTCGGCAAACGAGCAAGAGAAGGGATTATCAACCTGAAAAGACCATTTACCAAAAAGTCTACAGCTAACATCATATGAGTGATGAAGACTGAATGGTTCCCCCTCAAAGACTGGGAACAAGGCACTCTTGGTCAACATTGTGTTGCAGGTCACCGTACATATAAGGTGGGGGGAAGGGGAAGAAAACACAGATTGGAAATGAATAAGACAGTATCTGCTGGTGGATAATAGGACTGCCTACATAGGAAAATCATAGCAATCTTTAAAAAAAAAAAGCTACTAGAGTGAGTTTAAGCAAAGTCAATATACAAAACTGTATTTTTACATAGTAGCAATGAACATTTAGAAACAAATTTTTACAATTACCATTTATAGTAGCACCACAAAACATGAAATGTAACAAATATATACAAGATCTGTAGGTGAAATGTAGAAAACATTGATAAAATGAAAGAAGACCTTAAAAAAAGATATACCATGTTCATGGATTGGAACATTCAATATTATTAAGATCTCATTTCTCTCCAAATTGATCTTTAGATTCCACAAAACTCCAGTCAAAATCCCAGCAGGAATTTTTGTAAAAATCAAGTTGATTATAAAATTTATATAGAAAGGTACAATTAGAATAGCCAAACATTTCTGAATAAAGAACAGAGTTGAGAGACTCCCACCTAGCTTCAAGAGTCATATAAGGCTAATCAGGTCACTGTGGTACTGGTGAAGTGTTAAACCTATGGATCAATGGAACAGAACAGAGAACCCAGAATTAGACCCATATATAAGTGGTCGATTTTTGACAAGCATTCAAAGGTCATTCAGGGAAGAAAGAATAATCTTTTTAACAAACAGTGCTGGGATATCCATATGTAAAAATATATGAAACTCAACTTATACCACAGACCAAAATTAACTGAAAATGGATCATAACCTAAATGCAAAACCTAAAGCTACAAAATACCTAGAAGAAAACATAAGAAAAATCTCTATGGCCTTGAGTTAGGCAAAGATTTCTTAGATATGAAACTAGGTATGATCCCTAAAAGAAAACTGATAAATTGAACTTAGCAAAATTAATATCTGCTCTTCAAAACACACTAAGAAAGTAAGAAAAGCTACAGACTGGCAGAAAATATTTGCAAAATACATCAGGGCACTTAATATCCAAAATATGTAATTAACAATTAAAAAACCCGACTTTCCAAAATATGGGCAAAAGACTTGAACAGACCTCTCACCTAAGATTATGTGGATGGCAAATAATCCTATCAAAAGATGCTCAGCATCTTTAGCCACTAGGAAAATGGAAATGAAAGCCACAATGAAATATCACTGCACACCTATTAAAATGGCTAATTCAAAACAAAACCCTGGCACTACCAAATACTGGGAAGAAAGGAGAGCTACTGAACTTTCATACACTCCTCATTGGAATGCAGAGTGGTGCAGTCATTTCACAAAAAGAGTTCTGGCAGTACAACGTATACCTACCATATTACCCATTGGTAATGGATACAGCACATTTTTATTTATCCATCAGTTGGACATTTAGGCATTTTCATTTTTTTAGCCATAATAATGCTATGAAATTTGTGTACAAGTTTTTAAATGGACATGTCTTCATTTCTCTTGGGTATATGCCTGTCAGTAGAACTGCTGGGAATATGGTAACTCTGTGTTTAACTAACCCTTTGAAGAACTGCCAAGCTGTTTTCCAAAGCATCTGCATTCCCACCAACAGTGTATGAGGGTTTCAATTTCTCCACATTCTTGTCAACACTTGTTATCTGTCTAATAGCCATCCCAGTGGGTGTAAAGTGATACCTTATCGTGGTTTTGATTTGCATTTCCCAGACGGTTTAGGATGTTGGGTATATATTCATGTATTTATAGGCCATCTGTAGATCTCCTTTGAAGAATGTCTATCCATGTTCTTTACCCATTTTTCAAACTGGGTTATTTGTCCTTCATTATTGAGTTATAGGAGTTCTTTGTATATTCTGGATACAAGTCCTTTATCGGATATATTAGTAAAAATTTTCTCCCATTCTATGGGTTGTCTCTTTCTTGACAGTATCCTTCAAAGCACAAGTTTTTAATTTTGGTTAAGTCCAATTTACTTTTTGTTGTTTATGTTTTGCGGGTCATATTTAAGAAACTATGGCCTAATCCAAGCACCAAGGATTTACTCTATTTCCTTCTAAGAGTTTTTTAGTTTTGCCTTTTACATTTAGGTCTTTGACCCACTTAGAGTTAATACTTTTGCATGTGGACACCCAGTTGTTCCAGCACTATTTGTTGAAAAGTAGGAAAGATAAATTTCTGAAGAGAATGTTTTCTCTGAAGAAAAAAGGACAAAGGTGCTAAGTGGAAAATATAAACTAAATTACCCTAATCAAATATGAATAATTTATTTTAAAAATTCACTGTAAAGCATATCATATGAAGTAAACCTGATATCAGACTTGAAACACTTTCACTAGGGCAAGAGCAAGTAACCATTAAAGACAGTGAAGGAAATATGTGTGTCTTCCATGTTTGTCCAGTTTATCCAGCATTTGAAGAAATAAGGCAAAACACTAATTTCTTAAACTACAGTATATATTAGTACAGTAGTAAAATGCAACAGCAAAGAACAGACACCTACAGATATGAACCTAGTTTTAAGTAAAGTTCAGGCCAAAACTTGGATTTATATAAACAATAAGTTAAAAGGTGGTGATTTACAAATAGGCTTCCTTTAAATAAGATTTATCCGGTGCATCTAAACTCATTCTATTGCAAACAAAAACCACAATATCTAGACTTCTCAGCAATAGCTCTTGTATAAAATGTAGTACAACTCTGGTTACATCTCAAAACTTAAGCCTTTGTTTGAGGTAGAACAAACAAACATATAAAAATATACAATTTAAGGAGAATTTCAATTAATAGAACTCAACTTTTACCTGGTCATTAATCTTCTGCAATTTTAAGTTTTCATATTAACTGTACTTTGTGAATACTCACTCAATGACAAGAAGAGTAAATGTTTTACACACAGAGATGAATCATGTGTTTCTTTTATCCATTTCAAACACTCCCCATATGTGAAAGTACATATACCTGTATGTTTTTCTATTCATCTTTTCAACTCTGGGTGTGAGAGAATGGAGAAAATTGTTCTTTGTATGTTTCCATCTTCAGATTATTTAAGCTCCTCTAAATTTCTGAAAAAACTCATTATATAATGAAGACAAATATTTTCATAACCATTGTCTCAACTGACCATCTTTTTCTAATTTATTAATCGTACGGCGTGAATCCCATTATTCACTCAACACTGAAAATACATTTATTTCAGCCTCCCTGCAAACACAAGGAGACTTCAGAAGGAGAAGTTGGAATAAGGCTTCTCCTCATTCTCTGATGGGCATCGGGCTCTTCCGGTGGTCAAGTAAGTACCCACTCTATTACTCAAAAATAGTGTTTCCAAGTCCAAGGACAATGGATTATGAAAATGACATCACCTATGTACTTCCCGGACTACATTTCCCAGCTTCGTTGCAGCACATTTCTGTTTTAGGGTACCCTGGCAAAGGGATTTTGTGGTATTTGGTATTTTAAGTTAGCCTAATTTTCAAACCACATCTTAATTTTCTTATGTAAGTAAAAATTATATCCAAGGTTTTATAGGTATTCTGTCAACATTCCTTTTACCTTTTTTTTTTTTTCTGTCAACATTCTTAAGAGCTGTAAACCAAAGCACTTTTAGGGAAGGTAGTCTATCTGTAAGAGTCAATGTTTTAATGACTCTTAGTTGTTATCCTCTCATTTTAAAATAGACTGAACAAGTTAAAAGTACATCCAGTCCCATTAGTCAGTCTTGGAGTAGTATATTCAAAAGCAGCATCTGTTGGCTAGTCTGCTCCTACTGACTTACAGTTTTCTACGATCCAAGTAACTGAAATGCTGCAAACCAAAGTACAAGATTTTATAATACGCATAATTAGAAATTCTAATTAAGTCAGAATTACAAACTTGTCAACTGTGCAAAATGGTCAATTTATAAAATACAGTAAGTTGAACTTTAAAAAATGTTGACCATTCTTCATAAAAACTTTGACATATTTTAGGTCCCTCATTTGAATGGATATCCATCATTACTTAACAAATGCCTGAATTTATTGGTATTAGCAAAACTTGAACATCTGTAATCCTGTAAAGGCGACCAGTGTTTCCTTGACAAAGTTTTCATTTCAAGTCTTTCTGAATGGTGTTTTAAAGGGTACTGCACTACATCTTTAGCTCTGATCTTTAAGAAACAGATTATTATATCCTTTAGTAACTTTACGAAGTGATTGATGGCACACACTTCTCCATCAAAGAGATGCTCATCTAAGTCTACAAAAAGATAAATATGCCCAGAAAGCTCACATAATATTTCCTGCTGGAGATACAATTCTCTCTGTTTAGGAAGTAGTTCATAGACTGCCATTCTTGAATGGGTTCTTACAATTCGCTCACAAATATTTATGACTTGACATAGACTTTCCGAAGGGAAATGCAAACCATTCTTCTTTTTAACACATAACAGCGACCCAATTTTAGCAACTTTGAGATCCGAAGCATAAAGAGCACTGATGCAGTCCTCACAAGTTAAGAGAGCTGATAACTTATTTGCAATATAACTGGCACAACAGGTGAGTTTTCGCCTGTGATCTGACAGATCGAGTAATGCCTCACTTAGAGAACAGTAAGACCAGTCTTGGCAAATATCCTCTTTGTGAAAAAGAGTCTTTATAACACTGACACCATACTGACGCTGAACTGTCCAAAGGGCCAAGTCTGTCCTTCGAGCAATTGAAATGTCAAGGATGCTTACTTCACTTAGAAAAACTTCATCTTGTAATCTGTATCTGGTCTCCAAATTATGATAAGCTTTCTGGAATGCCATACAGGTAGGGTTAGAACTGGTTACTAATACCTGTCTAAGCATCTTCAGAAATAATTCCAGATGGTCTTGACTGAATTTGTAAGTCAGAAGATACGGAAAAGGCATGACCTTAGGGAAAACATAATTCTGGTAGAGCCATTTTAAGCTCTCAGCATTAAGTAAAAATCCCAGGAATCCTAGTTTTCGCTTACCTTTAATTATTTGATTGTTGCTAGCGTCAGATAATGTCACAAAGATAGTCTTGGCTTCAATTAGCACACGATTAATTTTACTGTAAGTTTCAGGCAGTAGAGGGCCTTTAAGTCCCTTTCCATAACAGTTCCTACTATTAAAGATGTCAAACAGGTTGTTAATTAAGCGTAAAAAATGGACGGTACCAATACAGTTTTGAAAAGGAGGCAGGCCTAACGACAGCAAGCACTCCAACGCACTGGCCACGCTCTCACTGAACACTTGGGCAGCGCAGTTCATCTTCAGTACATGGTTTTTCAGATTTGCAAGTTTTCTTGGGAGTCTTTCCATATTTGCTAATTCCTGTTCCCCTAGTGCTCCTAACTCCACAAGGTGCTGCCAATGTGCTGTGCCATTAATGAACTGAATGCTTTGCAAATTCTGAAATGCGTTTCTTATTAATCTGAGCAAGTGGCAAGAATCAAAGAAGTATGCAATCTGTTGGCTAGAAGATGAAGGATGCTGAAACGTACACTTCATGTTGTCTCCGTCGATATGTATCCCCAAGGCTTTTGCCATCTGAACACTGTGAGCTGTAGCATCAGACGTAACAGCCAGAACTGTGATCCCTATGTCACTCAGTTTGCCGATGGTAAGACGCAGCAGCTGAGCTTGCAAATATCCAGATGCCCTGTTTACGAAAAAATAACCAAGAGGCGCTCGCCAGTGACCAGAAATACCCACTGCCATTAACAAAATCGTTTCAGAGGCGAGGGGCGTTTCATCGGCATCCAGTGCACCGAGGCCGAAGTCCATAAACCCTTGCAGACGGTGACTGTTAGGGTCCCACTGGAGCTGCTGCTTGAGAGAGAGGCCTTTTATGGTCAGTGAACAATACTGATAGAGCTGCTCTCCCTTCTCCACTCTTCGCTGAAGAAAAGAAAAAACGTTGCTGTTGAAACCTGGGCTGGGTTTGCATTTGGATAACCATCTGGAAAATGGGAAAAAATGAAAATGATAAAATTCAAATGAAGAAATAAAAGAAGGAAAAATGCCTTAAATGGTACAAAAGTAGGGGCGTCTGGCTGGCTCAGTCAGTTGAGCGTCCAGCTCTTGGTTTTGGTTCAGGTCATGACTTCACAGTCCTGGATCGGACCCTACGTCGGGCTCTGCGCTCAGTGTGGAGTCTGCTTCAGATGCTCTCTCCCTCCCCAATGAGTAAGTAAAATGTTTATTTTTTTAAAAAAGATTTTATTTCTTTATTTATATTAGAGACAGAGAGCACAAGCATGAGAGGTGGCGGGGAGAGGGAGAAGCAGGCTTCCCACTAAGCAGGGGGCCCGATGTGGGGCTCGATCCCAGGACCCCGGGATCATGACCCAGCCGAAGGCAGACGCTTAATCGACTGAGTCACCCACACACCCCCAAATAAAATCTTTAAAAAAAAAATGGTCCTAAAGTAGCCTCAAATCCCTATAGAAACAAAGCCAAGTATAAGTAGCCAAATTCTACAGTTATTTTCAAGCATGCATTCATATAATTACTGTAAAATAAGAAGGTAACAGAGAAACTCAGAGAGGTATTTCAAGATGCAAACATACCACGAAGCAATTTTCTTGCTCATTTACTTTTTAAAAAAGTATACAAATCAATTACCTAGTTTGTTCTCATTGATGTAGTTATAATTTAGATCATAAACCGGTCTTACCTATAAATTCAATGAAATGAGAAAACTGCTGAAGGGGAAGGAAACTTTGAGAGTATCTAGCAGATCTACCTCATTTTACAGATTAGGAAACTGAGACAGAGGGAGAGCTTGAACCACATAGCCCTTACTGTGCTGCTAGCTCTGCACAAACAGGAAACCCAGCTTTCCCAAGGTCCTGCTCATGCTTTTCCCTCCACTCCCTGTAGTCTCAAAATTACGCCCTCAGGGACAATTAAGGTGTCTGCATCTGTCTGCCCTACACAAAGTACCTACATTACTACCTTGGCAGTTCTTTTGTAGTGTCCCTGACCTTCCCAGACTCCTGATTATGCTTTCCTATTAATGTTAGCCTCTGTCTTCAGAATCCTTTTCATTTAGTTCTAATTTACTCTTTCTAATTTGTTAGGGTCAGGAAAGGCAACAGCCAAGGTGAATCACTGTCTAAGATAAGACTAAATGGATTCTGAAGTAGAGACGGAGTGTTCATCTTAACTGGTTTACTTTAAAAAAAAAAAAAAAAGATTTTATTTATTTGACAGAGAGAGAGACAGAGAGCACAAGCAGGCAGAGCGGCAGGCAGAGGGAGAGGGAGAAGCAGGCTCCCCGCTGAGCAGACCCCGACCTGGGGCTCGATCCCAGCACTCTGAGATCATGACCTGAGCCGAAGGCAGACGCTTAACAGACTGGGCCACCAGGCGCCCCTGAAGTTTACTTCTGTAACTCAAATGACTTGGGGGGGGTATATTTCTTTCCATTTTTTAAAAGATTTTATTTATTCATTTGAGAGAGAGAGACACAGAGCACAAGCAGAGGGAGGAGCAGAGGGAGAGGGAGAATCAGATTCCCCGCTGAGCAGGGAGCCCAATGTGGGGCTCGATCCCAGGACCCCATGATCATAACCTACACCGAAGGTAGACGCTTAACTGACTGAGCCACCCACAGGCCCTCTTTTTTTTTTTTTTAAGATTTTTTATTTGAGAGAGAGAGAGAGGGCAGGCATGCTAGCATGAGCAGGGGGACGGGCAGAGAGAGAGGGAGAAGCAGACTCCCCACTGAACAGGGAGCCCAATGTGGGGCTTGATCCCAGGACCCTGTAATCATGACCTGAGCCAAAGGCAGATGCTTAACTGACTGAGTCACCCAGGCGCTCCAGGGGAGGTTATATTTCTGATTTTTGGGCTCTATTCTAAGCTGCCAAGGTTTCTTCTTGGACAGCTGACCTCTAATTGAGACTCTAACGTACCTCCCTAAGTATTTCAGGACAGGGCTTTCCAAATATTTTGCTGCAACCTAAAAGTTCCATAAATGAAATTTACCCTCACTACATGCCACGCACACACATATATAACATGTGTGTATATAATGCCAATTATGACCCACTAAATTGATTTCAAGATGCACTAACGGATTTGAAAAACACATTTATAGGATGCAAAAGACATATTTTGATTTTAAGTTGCTTTCAACCTATTTAAGACAAAAATATTAATCAAAAAAATTTTAAGTATTAATCAGCTGTTGATATTTTAAAATAGTAAGATAATGACAAAACAGGGCAATGCTATAGCCCACTAGTACGCTGAATGCCCTTTGCAAATGTGTCTCCAAATTTTAATTGTTAAAATTTTTTTTTCTTGCGTTAGGATTCCTCAAGTGAACACCAAAGATGCTAACCGTGTTGCATATGGAATCAGTATGTAATGAAACTACTTCATGCCTCTACGTAAAAGTTTTTATTTTAAATAGGCTAAGAAGGGACGCCTGGGTGGCTCAGTCGGTTAAGCAACTGCCTTTGGCTCAGGTCATGATCCCAGGGTCCTGGGATCGAGTCCTGCATTGGGCTCCTTGCTCAGCAGGAACCCTGCTTCTCCCTCTGCCTGCCACTCCCCCTGCTTGTGTCCTCTCTCTCTCTCTGACAAATAAAATCTCTAAAAAAATTAATAAATAGGCTAAGAAAGCTTACGTTCTTTGACTTTGATTTTTAAATGGAATTCTAAATGGTATCTTAATGTTCATAGCTACGAGAATGAGGTCTTGAATATCAGACAGAAAGATATGTGGCCTTGTTTCTAAAAGTTTTTGTAACTGAGAGTGGAAATACCCAAACCGTTTGTGACTTAGAACTGTAGAGAAGTGACTGATTTCTGTCTCAAACCTTTCTTCCCTCTCAAAATGAAAAAATTTTTTGATTAAAAAAAGTGTCATTTTTTTACAAAGTAAAACAATACCAAAAAGTACAAAAAATAATAGTCACTTTAATATTTCAGGGACGTTCTTCTAGATTTATGTATATACACCTAGATACAATTTTCAAAATTTATACTGAATCTACTTTTTTTACTTAATAGTAATGTTACAGAAATATTTTTCTGTGTCCTTAATTACTGACCTACCGCAATTTAAATGTGTACATGGTATACCATAGTATAGGTAATTTAACTAACCTATATCGAAAGATGCTCAGGTTGTTTCCATTTTTTAGAAAATACAAACAGCACCATACTGTGTACTTGGGTGCACATATACACATGTACGTATTCATGTCACTTATGCAATTCCTAGTAGTAGGATAGAAAGGTAAATTTACTTACACTAGCATTGAAATGAATGGATTCAACTTTTTTTTCTAAGATTTTATTTATTTATTTGACAGAGAGAGAGCACAAGCAGGGAAATAGCAAAGGGAGCTCTAGAGGGAGAAGGAGAAGCAGTCTCCCCGCTGAGCAGGGAGCCTGACATGGGGCTCGATCCCAGGACCCTGGGATCATGACCTGAGCTGAAGGCAGTCGCTTAATCGACTAAGCCACCAGGTGCCCCTGGATTCAACTTTTATAAGAAATTAAAAACAAATTTTGGACCTCTGGTGCACATAATTGGGTGAATCAATTTAAAATTAATTCACATTCCCAAATTTTCTTTCACAGAGTTTTTACCAATAATTTACATTCTCATCAACATGATCTTTTAAATTAAACAATAGCTTATTTATGGAGTGATCATAGGGAGTCCACTGTGTGGCTTAAAACTCTGCCTGGAAAAATTACAGCGCCGAAGAGCCATAATGCTGAGCTGAGTGTTTTTCAAGACTATTAGATCCTCCCATGGTCTTGTTTACCTTTCAATCTCTCATATCACTTTCCCTATTAGAGGGAGCTAATTTACTAAATTGCAATGAATACCTAAATAGAAAATTAGAAAAAAATCTGTAAGATCATTCCATATCTATCACTGTTACAATAAGGAAGGCTAAGGATGTTATGACATTCTTACAAAAGATATGTGAAAACGAACCTTCAAGACCCAAAGAACTGAAATTATAAGAAGCAGAGCTCTGGAAAGGGTCTGGACATAAAGAATTCAAGAGAGAACTGAAAAAGATCCAACATCAGTGCACAGAAAATTAGAGAAGGGACTGATAGTGGCTAAGAATTAGAGAAAGATACAACAAGTAGAAATTAGTGAGGGAGGTACCTGTCTGAACCAAGGGTTTTTAAAAATGTAAGTCTGGCTTGGTCTGTCATCATCTAATTGTTTACCATATAACTATTTCTCCATCATCACAGAGGAGAAAAAGCAACTATTCACATTTTCTCCTTTCTCCCCAAACTTCTTTTATCTCCTTCCCCAACTCTCAGCTATTATCTTTTTAAGTAGGCTCCACGCCCAGTGCAGAGCCCAATGTGGGGCTTGAACTCACAACCCTGAGATCAAGATGTGAGCCGAGATCAAGAGCAGGTCGCTTGACGGATTGAGCCACCTAGGCGCTCCTCAGCTATTATCTTTATGTCACTGAGAAAACAGAAGCAATCCAATAAAAACTCATTTTCCTGCCATCAATCTGTTAACCTACTGAATCTTATCTCCGCTTTTCTTCCTGTTTAAATGAGTGAATTGTCCCTGTTCCTCATTAAAGCCAGACGTCTCTCCACAATGGTGTCAGATGTTATCCCCCACAATTATCCTTTCTCCCGTGCATCACCAATTTTCTCCCCCACTAGATCATTCCCTTGAGCACGCAAACACTGAACAAACTGTGCTCTCAACAGACGCCCTCCCCTCCATCTATGTTCCCTTCGCCCCCACAGATCCATATCTCTGCTCCTTACATAGCAAAACTCCTTGAGAATCCATAATCATGGTCTCTCTTTCTTAGGCTTGATCAATATAAATAAACGTCCAATAGCTGGAGAATGCCCCGGTTAAGTAAGGCACAACTTCCTGATACTATGCAGTTGTTAAAGATCGTATATGTAAAAAACTAATAAATCTAAGAACAGGAAAAAGACTGGAAGAAAATTCCCTAAATGTTAATAATAATTAAATGAGTGAATTGTCCCTGTTCCTCATTAAGGCCAGATGTCAGTAAGGTTCAGAAACCACAGGAAGGAGTTGGCCTATAGGTTGTGGGTAATGGGGAGGCTTATGTTATGCATCAGGAAAGTGACTATTATCCAGCTGAATTGTGTCCCTCAAAAAAGATATATTGGAGTCCTAATCCCCAGTACCTCAGAATGTGACCTTATTTGGAGCTATGGTCTTTACAGAGGTAATCAAGTTAAAATGAGGTCATTAAAGTGAATCCTAATCCTACATGACTGGCCCTCATAAAAAAGAGGAAGTTTGGGCATGAAACACACATATATAATGGAAGATGATGTAAGGAGACACAGGGAAAAAGACCACCACCTACAAGTCAAGAAGAGAGGCACAGAACAGACCCTCCTCCCTCACAGCCCTCAGAAGGAAGTAACCCTGATGACACCTTGATTTTGGACTTCTAGCCTCCAGAACTGTGAGACAATAAATTTCTGTCATTTTTAAGCCAAATACATACATACATAGGCATCTGTAAAACCAGTGATAAAAAAAAATAGTAAAAGTATTACTTTTATAAGACATTACTGTAAAGCCTCTGTGTTATTTGCTTATAACACAGGGTTATAACACTAAGAGTTATAAATACATCTATGTATTTTGACCACAAATCCTACAAAATTATTTACCAAAATCTCCTCCCTGAACAACCTGCCCCAGGCATCAACTACAGTGCTTACAAAAATGCAGATTTTTGTGCTTAGCCTCAAACCAATCGTGACAATCTAGAACTGTTCCAGATTTTCTAGGATACTGATATTAAAACTGCTGAAAGGTTTTAGAAGTCCCCGAACTACTAAAGTATATTAGAATCCAGATTTTTTTTTTTTTTTATCACTGAGAGTGTCTCTGCCATCTGGAGGATGCAAAAAAATTGTCAGACTATATGCCTTCATTTTGTTGGTGAAAATCTTGCTGCTGTGATAATATGCAAATACCACCTAAAAGTTTCTAAAAAGAGAAAATGGATTAATAAATGAGAGTATAAGTACGAACAGCCTTAACATATAAAATGCAACAAAATAATAAAATACTCGTTTTCTTTGACATCTAAAAAGTAATTCACTTACGTCCTGAGGATGGAAGAATGAGGCAGCTTGAGAATCTTTCTTACATAATCATAGACTTTGCTACTGCACAAGTAGAGGGTACATGCAAACTGTTTCATTTCTGTGGAGTACTCAGCTGTTTCTCTCCAGTTATACAACTCCCACTTAAAATCTGTTAAAATAAATTTATTTATTCTTTGTGATGAAGAGTGTATACAGTAACATTTTCGGGTACAGATCATAGCATTTGGATGTAAATGCAGTGGGCATCCAAATCCAAATCCAAATCCAATCACAGTTTAACTGAGTTTGTTCAAAGGTTAATATCCAATCTTAGGGCCTCCTGACCAATTAATTCCTCCTGTTCATCTTGGATCATTTCACTCAAAAGAGAGAAGAAAAAAGTTTCCACTTGAATCACTATGTTTTACTATTCATTGGCAGCCTAAGTGGAGAATTTTAGAGGAATAGGAAAGAGAATGAAATAATTGGATAAAGCGAAGTCTCTGGGTTATGAGTATATTTATTTGTTTTATTTTGTTCCCTAGTCACCATTTATCTGAGGGTGAAAATGAGACACAAGAAACATTTCTGAGGATAGGATGCTATTCAGATTGAATAGACAACCTTGCCTACCTTGAGGAAAAAAAAAAAAAATCCTCTTTCCTGGTGGGGATTTCTATTTATTACCTCTGTTCCCCTACTGGAAAAACACAAAATATTCTCCTCCTTTGAAGATACCTACTCTTTTCTAGAAACAAGACATACTTTTTTTTCACCAGAATGTAAATCCAAAATTTCTGCTGCTTTCATCAAAGAGTAAGTCGGCAATACTTATTTTGTCCCTCTTCAAATATCTGGTTCACAAAGAAGAGTAGGTAGTCTTTCCAATGGACATATATATCCTCTATATTTGAGAAAATAATATGGACCCTCATAGAATTTTCAAGCTCAAAGGGAACTGGCAAAATTATCTGGTTCAACTCCACCACAAAAACACTTTAGTGATAAATTATGTAGCAGTTAAAATTGCTTATAGACAATTTGCAGTAAAATGAGTGCTTTATAAAAAATGAAAAGTACAGTATATGGTATCAACCGTATGATCTCATCTCTGGGTAGCAGGGTTATGTGTAATTTTTATCATTTATATATTTCTTTGCTTTTCCTATAATAAACACATTACTTTGAAAGCTGGAAATACCTAAAAGGATTTTGGCAACTACTTTTCCTTCTTTGTGCTTACCCCGACACTTCATGTTTCAGCGAAAAGCACATTTTCATAGGCAGGAGCAGAGTAAATACTTAATGGTAATTCGGAAAAGGGGAACATACCTGAAAACTGTGCTCGTAGCAGACACTCTGTCTCTTCAGAAAGGAGTTTCTCTTCTACTAGTGCATCAATTAATCGTAAGCCCTTTCTCTTCTTGATCATCCTGTAGTTTTTTACAGAGACCAGTCTTTTTTTGGACACTTGGAGCATCTGTTGCACCTCAGCCAGCTTCTCTGCACCTATTGTCAGAGGTCTCTTTAAACTGTAGTTATGGTCCTCAGTAGCAACCTCTTGCGAATTATCAGGAAGTGGCTGTTTGAGGATTTTCTGTCTTGCTTTACCTTTAAGGTGTACACCCTGCAGAACCTGCAAGAGAAACATCAAATTCAGGTTATTTTTTGAAATTACACAGAAGACGGTCTATAAAAATACCACTAAATGCAAAGCACTCACCTGGTTGCTGTGGAGAGTTAATTATGAAAGAAAAAGGTCAGAATCTCTGATTTTTTCAAATATATTTATAGGAAAATGTGAAAAGGGTTTTTTGGTTTTTTTCATCTATACAGAAATAGTAACCTGATGCTGAAAGTTAACATGACACTGAAAGTGTCTGAAATGGTTAAGGTAACAACAGAAAGGTGGTAATTTGGGAAGGCTTCATGGAAATGAGTTTTGAGTAGTTTTTTAAAGGAGCAATAACGTGACTTAACGGAGGGGACAGGAAAGTTATTTGTGCAAAAAGGAAGGCATAGTGGACAGAGCACGGGCTTTGCAATTAAGACTGATCTGGGTTTGAATCCTGGATCCCTCATTTATTAGCTGTCACTAAACTTCTACAATCCCTCATCTCCTCATCTGTAAAATGTGGATAATAATACCGAGTTGTTTTAAGGATAAAATAATTTATGTAAATCTTCTGGCACAACGGCCTGGACTACTGTAGGTCTCAGTAAATAATAACTATTGTTGATTTTACACAAAAGCATGAAAGCAAGTCAATTTCTCACTATGCAGTAGTTTGAAAAGAGAATTTGAAAAAAGAATACAATAGTTTGAAAACAGAATTCAGAGCAGTTAGATCAAGTGTAGAAATGCACAATTAAAAGGAAGCTCTTAGAGCTTATGAGTTTGGATTTGACACCAACTACATTCTTCTGAATAGAGGAATGAGACAAAACAATACTGAAAGGAGATTCCAATGGATAAGAGGGAAGGGTAGCATCAGGATAGAACAGGTAGATGACTACTGCAGGCTGTGCAGACAGTGAGGAGCCATGTATAAAAGGGTGGCCAAGAGGTGGCCAAGAAACGAAAGAATGTAACACGAGTACTGGTAACTGACTCATGGAAAGCCCTCTCTTTTCTGTATATAACTCTCTATATCAATGCTAATAATTAGGTACATTTTTGGTCAAGATTAATAACATTATTGGAGGAGTCCTAAAAAGGCGTCATTTCAAAGTATTCTGGAAACTGTCTCACACTTAAACAAAAGCCTGAATTCTAAGGCATCTACTAGTTGATTCTTGTGATCAGTTTAGTAATCTTAATGTGTATCTTGACAACGATTTGCATATTTATACCTAATTTTAAAAAAAATTCCAATATTACATATAGATTAAAAAAAAAACCCAAAATGAGTTTTCTAAGCATTTAAAATTATTGGATTTATTTTAAGACTTAGGATTTTTTTAAATCTCATGTGTGGTATCTTGGTTTTTAAAGGCTCTGTAGAATTTAGGTTTTTTTACACCTAGATTTAAGTACCTTGTATAGAGAAACAGAAGGCACAGCTCCTTTTTTCAGCTTTCTTCTTATGCCATATGACTCAAAGTCACTTTCTTGAAAATGTTTGGAACATAGTATAGCACCTGGTCCTGGGATCCAAATCTTTTTGCTTCTGGGGTCCACACGATTAACAGCCCTGATCCATTTTGAGCGCTGTATGGTATCAGTTGGAAATCTACAGCAATCATATTAAAGTTCCATTAACATGAAAATATTATAGTAATACTACAGTAGTATTTATTACATAAACCCATTTATTATTTAACTGCTTTACATAAACATCAAGTCCAGTTAAAGTTTAACTTACTCAATCTGATTTCATTTTTCAAAGTTCTTTGGTTTTTTTGAATCCAAGACTTCAGTATCTAAGTGATCTCATTTGCTTCAATTTGTACGAGGGCAATTCTCATATTAGATATCCTACCATATTTTGTCTTCACTGCCTACACTTAACAGAATTTGCTCAAATTTAGTATGTGCATCTTTAAACACATCCACAAATTCTGTGCTTCTCCTCCTATCAAGGGATGGAGCCTAATGCCCCTCCCCTTGAGTGTGGGTTAGAGTTAGTGATTTGCTTCTAAGAAATAAAAAAAAAAGCAGGAGTGACAATGGGCTAAGTAAGACTAGATAATAAAAGGCACTTGGTCCCTCTACTGAATGATTTTTTCTCTGGGGGGAACTTCTCTGCCATGTAATAAGCAGTCCTATAGAGATACAGGTCTACTGGGCAAGAAACAGGCTTCCAGCCAAAGACCATGTTGAGTGAGCCTTTCTGAAAGTACACCCTTCAGCCTCACCAAGTGTTCAGAAGATTCTAGTATTGGCTAACATCTTACTGCAACCTTATGAGAAACCCTGTAACACCCAGTTAATCCACTCCTGAATTCCTGCCCTCAGAATTCATGTGAGATGTTTGCACACTGCATTTTTAAAAAAATTTGTTACTGAGCAGTAGATAACAAGTACACTTCCCATACTCAGTTTTCCTCTTTTTTTGAAAGGCACCACTTTTTTCCAGCCTTGAATATAAAAATTACCTTGGAGGTCTCTATTTTTAAGCCCAAATTACTATGTTTAGAAATTGTGAGGAAAAAAAAATTATGAAACTGATATAATGAAAATCACAAAACTACTCTTTCTGCACCTTCTTCCTTGATTTGTCCTGGGGACAGATCTACAGGTAGCTGTGTGATTTTTGTGTATTTTAACTTAGGTTTTAAAGCATGTAGTTGTTATGAACTGAAAACTAGTGAAAATTTTAAGTTCCTCAGCTCATGGTTAGGGAAATAATATAGCAGTATAGTAAAACAGAATTCTGAGATATTGAATTCTGAAAGAATTGGAAAGAACACTGAATTGGAAAACCTGTATTTAAGCTTCAATGACCTTTTATCAGCCATGTGGTATTAGATACCTCTCTCAATCTTTGAGCCCCCTCACAGGGTTGTTGTAAGGGTGCACAATGCGACAAATGCACTCAAAAGCCTTTGTAAATGGTAAAGTACTACCCAGAGTTTGTTCTTTCCTAGGAACAACAATTCCACTTTCAGGATTTTCATTGTATTGTTCCAGGAAGATAATGCTACTTGATCAAAAGGAAGGTCTTTTTCTAATAAAGGCGAGGCAAATCTATCTCTTTTCACTGAGTTCCTTTCTTCACTAATGGCACATGCTTGTGAGGCAGCTCTTCCACAGACTGGGTGTAGTCTCTAACCACACAAAGGACAGTAAAAAGGTAGCTAGTCCACCAAGTTCTACTACTAGCCTGATCCTCTGATGCAGTTTCCCGACTGGCATGCCTGCTGACCACACCCATCAATCCCCTTAACCCGTGGAATGGCCTGGGCCATCTGGAGCCCTTGAAGTAGGTATAACAAGCCAGTCCCAAAAAGCTCTGTTGGTTTGCCCCAAAGTACTAAATAAAATGAAAGGGTTGGGAAAATACTGTAGTCTAACCAGCATGACTAGTTTGAATTCCAAACAAAATTAAATTGGTAATAATAATTGATACTACATTTAAAGCATTTACCTTGTGCCACAAATATACGTGTGTGTGTGTGTGTGTGTGTGTGTGTTTAAAGTTTATTTAAGTAATCTCTACATCCAACCGTGGGGCTCAAATTCATGATCCAAGATCAAGAGCTGCCCACTCTTCCAACTGAGCCAGCCAGGCACCCAGGTGTGTGTGTGTTTTGAAAACTTACTTTTAGTCTTACAAAAATTATGCACGACATGCGTTTTTATCCTTTCACAGAAGATGAAACCAAGACCAGACCTAAGTACAGCTACCAGTAAATAGTAGTTGAAATTGGAATTCATGTCTCCCTATTCTAAAGCCTCCTCTGGCAAAAGAAAAATCCTAAACCAATCATCATCTCATATATACATTAATGAATTGGTTTACACTAATACAGAATCCATTTTCTCTCTCCTGCTGATTACGCCTTTTTTATACCACCGGAAGAAATTTACCTTTGGCTCCCTGCATATATTTTCCAGAAAAAGTGGCTAACAAAATCCTTTCTACAGTGGTTGCCTCTGAGGAGAGAGAGAAAGGATTGAGGGGGTAAAGTTTTAACTATAACTGTAACTTAATTCTCTTTTAACAGGAAAAAAAACCCCTGAAACAAGGCAAAATGTTAATATCTACTTAATTCTAGTGGTGGGTACATAGATGTTTGTTATGTATTATTTTTTGCCTGCTAGTATTTTTGAAATGTTTCATAATTAAAAGTTTAAAAATAGAATTAATTATATAATTCAGGTAAAAACTCTTCCAAATTATCATACACATATTACTTTAGTTATGAAATAAATTGTTTAATTGCTTTACACCAACAAAAACAGAATGAATCAAAGTGTCACTTCTTTAAACTTGCCAGTCCCATCCCATATTTAACCATTTATGTGTCTAAGTTCCAGTATTCTCTTAACAATTTCCACACCTTTAGTCATTTTGATTCATGGTTTTCAGCCACAGCCCCTTGCCTGTGTCCCTGCAACATCTTTCACAACTCTGGTAATGGTGCTGGGGATGTTGGGGAAGGCTTCAGAAGAGATAATATTGGAGCAAGAACTGAAGTGTCGATAGGAGTTTGCCATGCAGACAGTGGCCACACCAAGCAGATGCAAAAACACAGAGATATAAAATAAATACTGGATCTTACTTCATAAAGCATTGAAAAATAAGTTAATTTGGAAGCTGAAGAGGGTTAAAGGAGAGTACAGAGGTAGCTGGTACTGGTTACAGATGGGCTGGAAGGATGGCTAGAGGTCAGGTCATAAAAGATCTTTTATTCTCCAGTAAGTTTGGGATCTATCCTTCAGATCAGTGACCTCCAGAGAATGCACTCATCTACTGAGATTTGAAGAACATATTAGAATCCATTTTTGTAATTTTTTGCCCCATCCTTTGATTTGTGTTTCATAATATATATTAGTACATCACTTCATGTATGTAATTTATAAATCACCATGCATATATCAGGGGCCTGTACTCTAATTTCCTTATGGAGAGGGCTCCATGATCAAGAAGTTTGAAGATGATGCCTCTGGGCAATGGCAAGTTGACAAATTCTTTCCCATGTTACCTTTTGCTGAACCCTTCTGATCAATACTACCTTGTTGCTAGGACTAACATCATAGTATTCTAACTCCTCTCCCTGTCTCTCCTTTCTCCTGCCTTCCTTACAACTTCCTAGGTATAGGAAGACAAAGATGATTCCCTCCCATTCATACATAAGGACATGTGTTTCATTCAGCACACATATACAATAAGAGAAAACAGAGGGAATGTAATTCACGTTTGGAAGAGAGGTATAGAAGGAAAGGCTCCACAGAGGAGCTTGGACTGTGTCTTTTAGGCACTGAAAAGTTCAGATTAAAATCCTTTCTTCAGGAAACTAGCATAAAATTTGCATTTTTAGAAAAATCATTTCTGGGAATCAGGAAAGTGGAATGAATGGGGAAGAAATCAGCCTGGAAGAATCATAGCAGACTACTGTAATAATTACATCACTTTCTTTTCTTAAAATTAAGCAGGTCTTACTTTGGTCCTCAATATATAAAATAAACAAAAGCAATAAACGAACTCTTCCTCATTTAAAGAACCTAAGAAGTCATAAGAAAAGCATGGCAGCAAAAAATTGAAAAATTAGAGAAAAAGGAGATAAGTAGGGACACAGTGTCAATAAAATCAATGGAGGTGAGAGTTTCATGGAGTAGCTGATATGATTAAAAGTTAAAAAGAGGTCAAGAGAAGGATTTAGAAGAGCTCACTTAGATTTGGGAAGATTACTGGTGACCCTCTGTCAGTGCATTAGAGCAGTAGTGACAGGTATCTGGCTACAATAGCTTGAAAAGTCAATAGGACTTGGGGAAATAGGTGTATGCTCCTGTTCTGAGGAGCCTGGTTATAGAGGGAAGGAGTGTTAGGGTAGTGCAGTTGTGCACATCGGCTCAAGAGTTTGTGAGTCTGTTTAAAAATGGAAGCAATGTGAGCATGCTCATTGACTTAGACAAGTGATCAGCAGAGAGAGCAGTTTAAAATAAAAAGAGAACAGGAACAAATTGATGGGGAAAAATCCCTAAGGAGGAAAAAAAAATACAATTACAACAGCTTAGTTGGAGGAATCAGTCCTATTTAAAAAAACAAAACAAAACAATGACTACAAAAGGCCTACCACACATAGTTGAAACTCCTTAACCTTTTCTTTTTAAATGTCTTCAAGCTACTTTTCCCACTCCTCTGGTTATCTGCACTTTCCTTCCCTTTACGTTTGTCCATACTATTCCTATTTAAGTGCTATCTAACTCCCAGCCCCGATTAAATTCAAGGTCCAATTCAAATACCACCTGTCCCATAAAGCTCTTTTTGATCTTCTCATAAAGTCCTCTGTCAATGGTTTAACTCTCTACATCTCCTATTACCTTAGTAGACTACCTCTTTTTGAAGTACATTTTTTTTGTCTGTGAGAATCTGTTTTATTCACTTTTCTACTTCCCATTGTGCCTTGAACTTTGATTTGAATGATATATATATATATATCACAGATGGACTACAGATGTGGGTTTAAATTAGACTGCTCTGAAAATCTGCCCCACTCTGGAGCCAAATGAAACTTCTTGCCATGACCAGATGCAGCCATTCTGGCCGGCCTTGTAGAGCTCAGTCAATTCTACAGAGTAACTTGCAATGACAGGCAGTACTGGTGAAAACTCATCTACACTCATTCTCGTGAGCAAGCCACACACTCTAATGGAATCGAACACCTTCGACAGTTCTCCCAAACTGCCCTCCCTTCCCGTCTCACGTTAAATAATAAGACGACCGAAAGGTCGAATAACCCCCTTTCGAATAACCCCCGCTAAAAGCCATTAGGTAAGCGGTAGGTAACGAGAAAGAATCAGCAACTTAGAGGTAAACAATGTGCGGGAATAACCTTTCGAATAACCCCCGCTAAAAGCCATTAGGTAAGCGGTAGGCAACGAGAAAGAATCAGCAACTTAGAGGTAAACAATGTGCGGGAACAGCAGGAATAACCTTAACTCTCAAACTTCCCCCGTTCCTTTCCTCCACGCTACGCACGTCACGCCACGTCACGTCAACGGCGCGACGCACGCCCGGCCCCGCCCCACCCTGGCCTACTGCCCGCCAGGCCGTGCTGGGAGTTAGACAGCCGGAGGCTGCTCTCACGCACTGGTGAAAGGAGAGGCCGCGCTCCCGGCTCAGCACGGTGTCCCGGGTGCTGCAGCCCACTGCCGAGCAACTTCGGGTCATCTTGCTACGTGGGGCTCCACTTTGGGTGTTCCCGTGACAGCATTAATCGCGACAGATTTAGCTCCGCCCGTGGGCTCGGCGGCTACGACCTTTATTTGTCGGAAAAGGCGGGCTCTTAAGGCGCAAGACTCCTACCCTTCCTCTTCGTGGGCGCTGCGCTTGACGTCGTGACCAATCACAGGCCACGTCGCGCCGCCGCAGCCAATCGGAAAAACCGGGGCATTAAGACGAGCACTTGACGGCTCCTCCCTCTCTGTTCGAGGGTGGTTAGTGGCTTTAGTTGTTGATGGCCTCGTTTTCCTCCTGTTTCAACCCCATCTGGTTACATCCGATGCCATCGGAGTTCTTGTGAGACAGAGCTTGAGAATGCGAAGCGAAGAGGCAAGGGCAAAATTGAGGCGAATCCAGGAGCATGCGGATAGGTCTCCGGTGCGAGCTCAGAAAGTGATTGGAGGATATGGCTGGGGGAAGAGATGGGAGAGGAATAAACGCGGTGCCCTAGAAATATTGAAGACAAAATTGGGACCAAAATAAATTATTTACTGAGAGGCATATCATTTCCTTGCGTTTTATTTGGTAGTTCCTTGATGTGCAGATAATAATATAGGAGCTGTTGGTATGGTTGGCCTGAGATAAGTGACCCCGGAGGAGCTTGAATGAGAGTGAATATGAGGATACGTCGGCTTTTAATTCAACGAACCCTTTTCTACAAGACCCTTTGTCACTATGGGGGAATTAAAAAGGAAATAAGGTAAGGTACTTGAGGCTCTTGGCGGTAGCACTTGTATAGTGGGGACTCGTCAGTAGTAATACGAGGAAGGAAGGGACAATGAAATGATTTTTGGTTGGGATGTGGGGCATCATGGATAACTTTCAAGGAGTGAGAAGGCCTTAGAATGATGTCTTGTGTAAGCTTACGGCATGAGATTTAAGTTTTCATAGAAGAAATAAATTGGGACCAAAATGGGGCGTAGTTTATTTTGTATCTTTGGAGATGTTTAGCATATTAAATGGCTTCTTTCTCTCCTGCTAAACATTGGAGGCCCATTAAGGAAACAAAAATGTTTGTACTTTCTATTCAATTTTTTCATTTCCTTCTCCAGCAGGCAAGAGTGATTCCAACATTTCCAAGCCAGATTGCTTTTTTCCCCTTTTTGTTTACTTAGTCCAGATTCCTGCCAAAAAGGTATTACTTATTCACATCTACTTTTGCATTATAATATGCTTATATCTTGCTTGAACGAAATTAACAGAGCTTTTGTAGATGTAGTTTTCTTAAAGTCACATGGCCTAAGGATAGTCCTGAATTTGGGGGAAATTGATCCATGGGGATGTGCTTGGTTGGCTGTTATATGTGCAAAGGGTAGGACCTGGATTTAATTCACCTTCAGTTTGTTAGACTATTAGAAACTTTTCTAATACTCAACCAATTAAGACCCAAATAAGGCTAAGTAGAGAGAAAAATTTTCTATTAGAAAATTTTCTACTACAGAGAAAAAAATTGGTGCTTCAGTTTTTTGGGTAAGAGTTTTACTGACTGTTACATACCATACAACTAACCTACATATAAAGTGTACAAATCAGTGGGGTTTAGTATATTCGTGAGTTGGGCAACCATCACCACAATCAGTTTTAGAACATTTTTATAACCACCCTTACCCCCCCCCCCCCCCCCTGCAAAAAGAAAACCCATTCTCATTAACATTCACTCCCTCTATCTTCCCTACCCTCAGTTCTTGGAAACCACTAATTTTTTTGGTGTAGATTTGCCTATACTGGAGATTTCTTATGAATGGAATCAGAAACTAATACATGGTCTTTTGTTTGTGGTTTCTTTCACTTAGAATGTTTTTAAGGTGCATCCATATTTTAGTGGGTATCAGTACTTCATTTTTTTTTAATTGCCAAAAGTATGGATATACTGCCATGATTTTATTTATCCATTCATCAGTTAAACATTTGGGTTGTTTCCATTATGGGGGGGCTATTATGGATAATTCTGTGAACGTTAGTGTACAAGTTTGTGGACATATGTTTTCATTTCTTTTGAGTATATACCTCAGGGTGGAATTGCTGGGTCATATGCTAACTTACGTTTAAACTCTTGAGGATATGTCAAACTGTTTCTCCAAAGTGGCTGGACCATTTTACATTCCCACTAGCAGTGGATGAGGATTCCATTTTCTCCACGTTCTTGCGAGTGTGAAGTTGTACTTCATTGTGGTGGTTGCCCAATTTTTAAGGACTTGGGGTTTGTAGGGAACTTGCTAGAGGATGCTCCTTGAGTGTAGAGGCAATGTCTAAGGTGAATTTGTCTTCACAGTCTCTGGCACACAAATAGATAAAGTATGTTCTATAACATACGTGTTTCTGAAAAATACCTCTGCTCAGAAAAATTGTGCATCTGAAAGAAGCAGAGCTTATAGGGAAAAAAGAAAGTTAGCATTGATTACTCGAAATCTGTGCAATTTGATAATCTCTAAAATAGTGATCAGTACCTGGGGAAGTACTCCTAAGACCTCCCATCCCCTGCAAGGTAACTTAAGTGGAGACTGCCGTAGGGTATATTAAAAGAATGAGGCTGGTGGATGCTAGACAGTACAGATAGAAGTGGAGCTCGGAGTATAATAATGGGCTGCTAAATGGTATAACCTGTTGAGCACCTGAGAGCATGTGGGTGGAGCTGGGGAGGTAGCCCCAGGTGGAGGCTCTCATTTTTCATTTTCTTAAGTTAGAGTTGAAAGTACCCCTGCAGCCAGTTAAGCATCATGGGTTCGGAGGAAAAGAGGGCTTTTCTTTCTGCTTAATTGGATTCCAGATACTGTGGCTGTCCTAGGAAAGATGAAACTGTGGCTCTCAACGTTATTCTCAAGGCATTCTCGTCAAACGAGTTACTGAAAACTGCTATGCTGCAAAACAGATTTACTTTTTTTTTTTTTTTAAGATTTTATTTATTTATTTGATAGAGACACAGTGAGAGAGGGAACACAAGCAGGGGGAGTGGGAGAGGGAGAAGCAGACTCCCCACTGAACAGGGAGCCC